ATATATAAATGCCCTCAGAGGTCAGAACAGGCATTAGATCCCCTGGAACTGGAGTTATGGACAGCTGTTAACCACCATATGAGTGCTGGGATTCGAACCTGGGTCTTCTGCAACAGCAGCCAGTGTTCTTAACTGCTGATTCATTTCTCTTGGCCAAAGCAGCTAATATTTTACAAAGAAAAAAGTTTTACTGATTTTACATATATATATATGTACTGAGGCCAGACTCAGGCTTTTATAACAAGTCTCTTGAGGGAACCATCAGGAAGTCCCATGAAATCTACCTTCCAAGGATATGTTGCCCAAGAACTAGACCCTAACTAGATCCTAAGAGTCTACCATTTCTCATTTATGCCACCCTGGAGACCAAGGTTTTAATAAGAGTGGACCCTTGGGGAATACTCAAACCATACACAAACCATAGCATCCATAGCATTCAGTCTTCTCCATGGATTTTGGCACATCCATTCCTCTCTCAGAATTAGAGTGCTGTGAAAAACTCACCCAAGGAAGAGGTAAGGAATTAAGTTTAGGAGCAACTTGGCGTTGGTTTAAGACAGACTTTGAAATAAATGTGTATATGATACTCGTTAGACTGTCTGATTTTTAAATACAAACCTTTGATTAAAAACTTTGTTCAACCATGTTGCATTTGTTTTCCCAGAAATCAAGATGTATGTATATAACATTCCTTGAGAATGTTTCTTAATTATTAAATCCCTTTTCATAGATACAGACACTAGTAGTGAGGAAAGAAAGGAATTTAAACAATTTATAATAGTAACTAAGTTTATTGAATAATTGATTTAGTACATTAGATTTCAGAAAGGAAGGCCAATGAAGAGATTCAGTTTTCCATGCAGAATATTCCCATGTGATCGTATAGTGGGATGGTATTGTTTTACTCTCTTTTCAATAGTGATTATTTCCTGATACGTATATGCATTCTAGTCATATGGAAGAATATGTGCTCATACCCATGATAAACAAACTTAGTTCTACAGAACGGCTTGCCCAGAATAACTGAAGCATTGTGTGGGAGCTGAGTAAGTAGGGGAGAGAAATAGATGGGCAAGACTCAGCATTACATTTCTGATTAAGACTAGGAGATAAGAAAGGCTTCACAGATTACATGGCACCTTCTGGTGAGATTAGCCTTCACTGAGTCTTAGGTTCTTACATAATTATATATAATTACATATTATATATAATATAACATTAGATATTATATATATGCACAATTACATAAGTTTAATTTGTGTGTGTGTGTGTGTGTATCTCTCTGTCTTGATCAAAGAAGTTTATTTTTACAACATATGTCACTGTACGGTTTTCAGTTCCAATTGATGCAGCTACAGTGCAGCCATTACACCTAAGACTCAGGGGCCATCACGGATCAGGAAGCAGAAAGATTTGGAGATCCAGAGAACAAAGAAACCTGCTTCTGGATACTGTCTTCTAGGCAAGACAGGGATGCTATGCCCATGAAATCTCAATAATATGGTTTTCTAAACAAGACCTACTTAATGACAATATCAGACAACACGGCAAGACCAATAAGGGGAATTTCACAGGGCTCCATCCCTAAAGGAAGAGCTACGTTCAGTGGCTTCTGAGAGACAGAGAATCAGTCTTCTCCTGGCATGGGCCTCCTGATAGGTTGTCCAATATCAAGTGGTCAGCCCTAAACAAGAGCAACACCAAATGGGCTCAATAGGTTGTGTGTTGTTGTTGTTCCTGCTGTGTATCACAATAATAATTATAGGAAAAGGGGTCATGAACTTCAGAGGTAGTGATGGAGGACATGGAAAGAGATGAAAGGTGGACAGAGGGGTAGAAATGATGTAAATGATGTAAATACATTCCTTCAGTGTTCCAAACCTATAAATGTAAGATTCTGATGACTTAGTAAAAGGGAAAAGAATATAATATAGCTCATCAACGCTTATACATTGATTATATGCTGAAACAATGTTATTAAAATTAGTTTTACCTGTTTCTACTTATTGAACATTGTAAATGTGAGTAAAGTTTGTGGCTTACATTAAATTTTTGTTGACCGTGCTAGTCTCGAACCTGGAATTTGGAAGCTATGTGACCTTCCAGAAAACTGGAAGTTGAGGGAAGCGAACAAATGATTGCTTGCATTTAAGAACATATTTCTAAAGCAGAAAAATTATTTTCAATTCAACTATTCGCCAAAAGGAAAACTCAACTAAAATGAATTAGGATGGCCACAGAAGCAGTTTTAATGTGAGTTCCCCCAGAAGCAGACTCTGAGAGTGTGAATTCAGAGATGATCCAAGAATCACCAGAAAAGGAAAGGACATAGAGCTCTCTTGATCTGAGAACAGATTGTATGTTTTATCCCTGAGTTCATAATTTCAAGAAACGTTTATGTAGCTTGCTGATGTATCTGTTCATGGTCTCATATGGCCTTTGAGATAGAATAGATAAATGTGTTGATCATTGTCTCCTCATTATGTATAAGCAACTGAGTCCAAGATAGGTTCAGCCATTTGTCCAAGAAAGTCCATTTGGGATGCTTGCCTGGGTCGCTTCATGCTCATAAACCTATACTTGGGTTGCTATAAAGCTTGACTTGACAAGAACATGTGGAAATAAGGACTGTTTAAAGGTGACAACAGAAAACTAAAAAATTTTTTTTATGTAGAATCGTTTACATATACATAAGAAAGTAGGCATTACTTGGGGAAGTTTTGTTGTTGTTATTTTGTTTGAGTCAAGATCTCAAGGAGCAGACGGTGATCTTGAACTACTAATCCTCCTTCCTCCCCTTCCCAAGTGCTATAGTTCTGAGTTTAAAAAAATATTTTATTTATTCTTTTTATTCTTTTGCATATGAGTATATTGTCTGCATGTTTGTAAGTGCACCTGGGTTATACAATGTCCTTGAAATCAGAAGAAGGTGGCTGATTCCCCTGAAATTAGAATTACAGACAATTATTAACCACCATGCTGCTGCTGGGAATGAAATCCAGGTCCTCTGCAAGAGCAGGCAGTGCTCTGAACCACTGAACCATTTCTCCAGCTCCTCTAAGACTCTTAAAAAGAAAAATGTTATTTTTTTTAAAAAAGCACAATCAAAATTAGAAGGTTAAATAACTGCTCACCACCACACAGGATGTTGGTGGCAGAGTTAAATTCAGAAAACCTCCACTGTAGTTTTTGTAGCGGAAGCTTATGGATACATGGCTTAGTGAAGACTGGATTTTATTCCTGTCCCACTGCCCATGTTCTCTTCAAATGTGTTGTCAGCCCCTTTGGTACTACTTGGAAACAAATCTCCCCCAACTTAATTTCCCTTTATTATGTTTATAACTGCCTCAGTAATTCTTTGTGGACCTCAATAACACTTATACTATTTAAATTTGAACAACCCTAGAGGATTTGGGTAGGTCAAAGTGTTTAAACCACAGGCTTTAGTCTTTGTATTAGTTGATTAAAACCAGATTTTATGCATGAGGTATACTCAATAAAGGGAGGGGTAGGCAAGCAGATGTTTGTAAAATCTGAGTGTGTTGGATTGCATTTATTTGGCTGTCTTACTAACTATATAAAAGTCATACCTATGACAATTGAACTGTAAACAGTTAGATGATGTATTTCTCTAGAAATTTCCTGCTATGTATGGTCAGCCAAAAAGAAAAGTAAAAGGATTCTGTAAGATTAACACACTAAAAGAAGTTGACTAATATACCTTATAATAGTCATATCTAAACCAAGGACGTTGACTAATGGAATACCTCAGAATTATTCTCTGACCTTAAAGACATTACCAGCTGCAGTTCATTTAGTCCAAACACTAGAAAACCTTTCAGCTATTTTTGTGTGAGAGAGAGGGTGGTTGTTATAAAGAGCATCTCATTTTTTCAAACAGAAGATCATTAGGTTGTATCTAAGTTGCTCTGTCAGACTCATTTTATAAAGTAATATAACTTAGCTTAAACGTAAGTGGGAAAATTTCAAGGACCACAAGTGAAAGTAAGGACAGAATGGTGACTGGAAGCTAAATCTGGGCTGCTATCAAGAAGTGAGGATGAGGTACAACCGTGGGGATATTAGGAAACACTTAGGGGAGTGTGTACTTCTTGTGGCAAAAGCCCCACACAGATGGAGAAAAAGATTCCCCATGCACACACTTGGCTCAAAGGACACCTCACACTTTTTCTGGAACTGAAGCCAGACATGGAAGTCACATGGAAAGGACCTGGGGCACTGAGCCAAAGTAGGATTTGTGCCTCACTTGCATAGGGATTTCTTGTGGGAGTACCTTGTTTGGGAAAAGAACAGGTCCTAACCTTAGAGTGTGCACCTCGCCTGGCTAGGCTATATCAATACCCAAATCACAGCCCGAGGAACAAAGTTCATTGCAGATGAACTGTCAGACAAAAATTACAAGACACAAGATAAAATAATATACTTGAAAAACATTAAGCAAACACCAGGGAATGTGGAATGACTGTTCCTCAAAAAGCTTAAGAACAAGTATGTTTAGTTCTCTTGAAATTATGAGGGGAATTGCATTCTTGGACAAGGAGCAGAAAACAATTTACAAGAAAACGGAGATATGATAAAGAACATCCTGGAAATGAAAGAGATGGCTTGGGGGTTAAGAGCATTGGCTGCTCTTGCAGAGGACCCGGGTTCAATTCCCAGAACCAACGTGGTGGCTAACAACAATTAAACAAAGGGATACATGTCAAACTACATACTTTCTCCCTAATTCATCTCCTATCAATAGCATACACTATTATTCAATTAAATTTAAGTGAGTTACCACAATAATAATGAATAGAAAGTTGATTTTTGAATATACATGGAAGATTCTTTGAAATACAACTTTTGAAAATCCACTTTAAATGTGTAAATACTTAGAATCTGAAAAAATTATGCATGTTTTTGAAGATGAATAATTTTATATCTTCTAAAGTAGAAGAGTATGCAGAATAACATCTTCTCTCTCTTTTTTTAAACAGCAAAACTTAGAGAGTAACCTTACCAACCTTATTAAGAGGAACACAGAACTGGAGACCCTTTTGGCTAAGCTCATTCAAACTTGTCAACATGTTGAAGTGAGTATCTCTCTCTCTCTCTCTCTCTCTCTCTCTCTCTCTCTCTCTCTCGTATTTCAGGTGAAAAGTGCTGGCCTGGGATTTTTCCGTCATCTCAATTTTTATTTTAAAGAGGAATCTTTATCGAGACTAGAGAAATGTGTCTGCAGTTAAAAGCGCTTGCCACTCTTGCAGAGTATTTTTATTCAAGTGAGTCTGCCACAGTGTGCCAGTGCTTGTGGAGGTCAAAGAATAATTCAGATTCCCTGGAGCTGTAGTTACAGGTGGTTGGGACCCACCTGAAATGGTTGCTAGGAAACAAATTTGGGTCCTCTTGAAGAGCAGCAACTGAGTCTTCTAAATACCTGAGCCATCTTTCTGACTCCCATCTCAACATTTTAAAAAATTATTTATTTAATAACCACATACTTAGAAGAAACATTTCATTACAACAGCACTGACATATTCAATAACAATTTCCAGAGCTAAGATGCATCTCTTTCAAGACTGGCTACAAATTTTCAGGTTTAGAGTTGAATTACTACAGTTATATAATATTGTACTCAGTATAAACCCTATAAGACATAAAATTAAATGCGGTTTTAACCTTTAAAAAAGATCTCCATTTCATTATTAAAATACAGAGTTTCATACAGAAAAATGCATTTTTAATGCAATTGACATTAAGATGTTTGTACATGCGTTTCTCATCTCCATATATTTGATTATTACTAGTCACAGTCGGTTACTTTCTGAGCTCCTTGGCATCTGAGCATGGATACAAAGTCATCAGGTAGATTTCAATGGTAATGTTTTTCACCTCTACTAACTACTAAGAGCAAATTTTTATGCTTTGAAGAATTATTAGTATTTTTTAATCTTTTTTAATTTTTAATAACTACATAATTAGAAGAAGCATTTCACTACAGCTTTAACATATTCAGTAACATACTCCAGAGCAAGAGTACATCTCTTTCACAATTTTAGGTTTATAGTTGAATTAACACAGTTATGCAATATTGAACTCAGTATAAACCCTGTAAGACATAAGATTGAATGAGTTTTTAACCTTTTAAAAAGATCTTCATTTCGTTTTAGAATATACTGTTCCTTGCAGAAAGACTCATTGTATTTGCCACTAACACTGAGATGTTGGTGCATGCATTTCTAATCTGTATGTATCTGATTGTTACTAGTCATAATCAATTGCACTTGGATCCTTGGGACCTGTGTATGTCTATAAAGTCATCAGGTACATTTCAATGGTAATGTTTATCACCTATACTAATTAACATGACATACATTTCCAGGCTTCCTCCTCAAATGTAATACATTTTTAAAAATTTGTTGATTTTTTTTTGTGTGTATATCACACAGAACATCCCAAACCATACTATTCAACTATACACCCACTTCCCAGATGGCATCGTCCCATAGCCTCCCTCCCCCCACTAGAGCCCTTATACTCTGATATCCCTGCTACTGTCTGCTGTGTTGTCGGCACCCCCAGCCATTCCCCACTACTTGCCCTTCTGGTGAATCTAGTCATCCTATCTAGAGGCCTTTTTTTTTAGGAGGGTCAGCTGTTCCTCTTCCAGCAGTAATCAGTTGTCAATATTCCTTTGGATAAGATTGGGGTCTGCTGTTCATTTTCCCAGTTCTATGCTGCGTTACTATCTGGGAGTCACTTAGGCCACCCTGACCAAAAACTCAAAAGAAGGTATAGCCAATCTGGCATTGTTGCTTGTTATGTAGCCTTTAGCTATGCATATGGACTCTTAAAAAATTATATTGGCCCATTTAATCTTTGGTTATATTTTCCTTTTGGTTGTTCAAGGTCATACAGTTGGCCCAGATAAACGGATTTAGTTTTACTCTTAAGGTCGTTTGAGGATCTGTTCCTTAGGGGTCATGTGGACTTGGGAGGAGTCTCTGGCTCCTTTCTTTTACCAGTTCTGCCTATGTGAAGGTAAGTCAAAGGTTCTGCTCGGCCATGGTTGGCTTCGCTTGGAAGCATGGATGAAATGATTTCTCTGTGTTGACCCTCCTCTTTGTAGACTGGACACTGGTTCAAGTCCATCTAGTGGGGCCTCCTTGATCAAGAGGATGGGTGACCCACTACAATTACAGGACATCTCGAGAGATGCTCATAGTCCCCTGGAACTAGTCGACCTAGGAGGGCAAGGGGCAAAAACTGTCCTTTATGGCCCTCTGACCAAATTTAGTATATGCCTCAAAATAAGTTTGTTAAACATTCAAGAAGGTTAGTTCCACCAGATCGGTACTTTTAATTACTGTATGTCATGTAGATAAATCTTGGGCAAAGACCAATTGTTCTCAGGTAAACATTACCTAGGCATATATTTCTTGATCTGCTATGTATAATTTGTTAGTAGGTTGTAGGAGTAATATGGTTCCCTCTGGTTTTCAAAACTAGCTAGGCATTATTTATCTCTCACACTGTCTCACCCCTCCACCATAGTTCTTCCACTTAAGGTTCCCCCATTTCCCCACTTTTTCCCTTACTAATCCCCTTCTCCTATGGTCCTACCTCTCTTGAGCTCCTTCTTTCCCTCTATCCCCTTGGTTCCTTGTATACCCTGCCCTCCCCCCTCCATTAAACTAACCCAATTTTTATCCATATCTCCCTTATTAAGGCCTATTTCCTACTGTTCTTCTCTTTCAGGTTCTATCTTTTCCTTTACCTCCCTGTTTCCTTTCCATTATCCTGGTTCCTGTAGTTACATCTGGATACAACTCACTTATCAGGGTTTGTTTATAGGATCCACATATGAGGGAGAACATATGTCGATTTTTTGTTTCTGAGTCTGTTACTTCACTTAGTATAACAGTTTCTAGTTCCATCCATTTACCTTCAAATTTCATGATTTCATGCTTCTTTACTCTTGAGTAAAACTCCATCGTATAAATGAACCACATTTTCATTATCCACTCGTCAGTTGAGGGACACTTAGGTTGCTTCCATCTCTTAGCTATTGTGAAAAGAGCAGCAACAAACATGGATGTAAAA